CCATGTGGGCTTTGTTGCCTCTGAGCTAGATGGCCACTTGTTTATCTTCAAGCCTTTAAGACCCCAGATGCTATATCTTTGGATAGCTGGGCACCATCAGCTTTCTTCACCACATTTGCTTATGCACTCATGTGTCTTCAGTGATCATATCAGGCAGGTGGGCACCCACTGATATGATTTTTTTGTTCTTTGATGACTGATACCTGGTCCCTTCTACACCTCATGGGCACACAGGCTGATGTGTTTCTTCCATGTGAGCTTTGTAGCTTCTGAGCTAGATGACTGCTTGTTAACCTGCAAGCCTTTAAAACCCCAGACGCTATATCTTTTGCTAGTAAAGGGAATTGAAGAACTGATAATGGAAGAGAATTTAGAGGGAGAAGAGGAATCACACAGAACCTTTAGATACTCCACATTCAGAGGGCAAATGAACAAGACGAAGCTAACAAAAGAGACAAAGAAATGAGCAAACAGAAGTAAAGCAAAATGATGCTATCATAGAAACTAAAAGAGGAGAATGTTTCAAAAAGAATAGTTTGTTCAACTTTGTAGCATGTTCAATGAATGAATGAACACTAAAATATATGATTCATCAAATAAAACGTATTAGATTTCCTAAATTATTATTGTTAACAAAAATGTAAAATTATATTCTTTTCTAAGTCACTGGAGGTAGAAAAGCTTAGAAATGAATGTTAACATTATAAAATTCTTAGCACTAAAGGAAAAACATTTATAAATTATTTGCTAACATGAATGCATTTTTAGAAAATTACTACCATGACCCAGTTTATGTTAAGAATGTTAATGTAACAGGATTCATGGCCTTTCTAGTCAATATTTTCTAATTTAATGTCATATACTAGGAAAGTACACAATTAGTATATTATAAAGTCAAACAATTGTATATCAAAATTCATGATATTTCAGAATTTTCATTAACAATAATTTTCTAAGCCTGTAAAGGAACCAGAATGCCAGTATTCTAATTGGCAATGCAAGAGTACTTTGTTCTAACAAGCTGGCATTCTGTGATGCTCACTCTCCCAGCACAATCACTGAAGACAAATGGGTGCATAAGCAAATGTGGTGAAGAAAGCAGATGATACCCAGCTATCAAAAGATATAATGTCTGGAGTCTTAAAGACTTGAAGATAAACAAGCAGCCATCTAATTGAGAAGCAAGAAGCCCACATGGAAGAAGCACACCAGCCTGGGTGATCATGAGATGTCAACAGGATCAGGTAACAGGCATCAGAAGACTCAAAACAAATGAAAAAATATATATGTTGTGGAGAATGAGGGGGGCTTGGAGCAGAGACCCCCAAACCATCTGTAGACAATGGGACATGCCCTCACAGAAGGGTCACAAGGAAGGGATGAGGCAACCAGGGTGCAGTATGGCACCAAAGAAACACACACTAGTCATCTGGTTCCTTGAGGCTTCCTCACTCCCCACTATCATGACCCCAGTCCTCCCTTTCACTGTGATCTAGACTGGAGCATGCACATAGGTACACATAAGATATAAGAGCTCATGACACACGGAATCCAGGAACAGGAATGGGAGTAGTGATACCAGGAGGGTAGGGGAAGGATGGGGAGAGGAGAGGAGGATGAGGGAACCGAGTGCAATGATGGACACATAACCACCACCATCACCAGGCGGACAAGCAACAGAAACCATGGGGGAAGGGAGACAGTGGTCAGTGTAAGATACGAAAATAATAATAATTTATACTTTATCAAGGGGTCACTAGGGTGGGGAGGGAGGGAAGGAAAAAAAGAGCTGATACTAAAAGCTCAAGGGAAAGTAAATGTTTAGAAAATAATGATGGCAACATATGTTGCCATATGCTTGATACAATTGATGTATGGATTGTTGTAAGAGCTGTAAGAGCCCCCAATAAAATAATTTTTTAATAATAATAAAAAGAAATGCTAAATACATATCATAAAGACTTAATTTTCATGGTCACATAATACTATAAATTTTTATGTAATTCCACACAGACATAAACTGAATAAAAGTCTCGTCCAAAAATAATTTCAACCTGAGAAAACACAACACAAAATGAAGAGAGATAATTCCACAGAAGTGCTAAAAAACTCAGAGTAACCACACATTAAATGGCTAAACAACTATGCAGATACATTTCAATAAAACTGAACAACTTTAGTAGTTAACTTGAATCCTAAACTGATCAAACCAGAATACATTTCAATTACATAAAGAAGGCTAATTTTTCCTCAGACACTAAGGAAGCACTACACAGTAAGAATACATACCTAGAAATCATTACCCCATTGTAATGGGTAAATACTACGCAAATCATATGCTATTCAGGTATATAAAAAATTAAATGCCTATTAAATGAATAGTTAATTCATGCCACATTTTAGGTTACAGTATAGTGGAATTGAATGAATAGCAGCTAACAACACAAGAGGGCATATCCTAGTAGAACTATTTATCAATTAAACTAGTAGCCAACATTATGATAAATTGAGAAAGGAGAAGATGGATGTTGTCAAAGATTTCATTTTACTTTGTTCCATGCTCATTGAAGTAGCTGTCAAGAAATCAAATGATGTATAGTATTGAACAAATCTAACACAAAAGAGCCCTTTAAAGTGTTAAAGAGCAAAGATGTCACTTTGAGGACAAACATGTACCTGATGCAAATGATGGTATTTTCAATCGTGTATACATGTGCAAGTTTAAGAAAACCACAGAAGAATTGATGGATTTTTAGTATGGTGTTGCAAAAAATAATTTATTGAAACTTTGCTTCTAGTTTAGACCAAATCCAAAATTATTTTTGTTTACACTAAAATTTCGCTTTAAATCACATACAACTTAAACAAAAATCAATATTATCAATTTTCTAAACTAAATTATTCAAACTACCAAATAGTTTTCCTGTTGAACTTAAACCAAAATGACATTTCTTTTGAGTCAAATGCCTGAATTGGATCTTGCTGTATGTTTCTATTAGAGCTATGTTGTAGTTGATCACCCATCCATTTGAATTCTAATAATTTAATTAATTAAATATTATTAAAAGGAATAACAATATAAATTTTATCTACAATTTTATATCATCTCATTATCTTTCTGACCATTAAATTCTTTAGTAATAATTTGGTCTCATTGTAGCATCATCGTTTTTATGATACACTGTGCATAACATTTAAAAAGTTGATGGCCTAATTATAGGTAGTATAATAGGGCTTTAATGATTTGGGTTCCTTATGGATAAACTTTCTCAGTCACACTCATCTGCTCTTGAAAGACGTCATTTTCAACTTTAGGTATGCTCACTTAAGGAAAAATACATAATGACACTATTTGTATTAGAGGAGATTTTCAACTTTAAAAATATTCACTTAAGAAGAAAGGGGATTTTAATAGTTATACTTTAGTTGTCAAAAGTAAACTACGATTTTGGCTTCTTTTATATAATAAATTTGGTTTAAACCTCTTATTCTTAAAATATTTTCATATTTTTCCAAATCACAGAAATAATGAGTTATGAAGCCAACTCTCTAAATGAAAAAATATACCTAATTTTGAGAAGTAAAAACAAAGCCTAATTAGCATTTAAATATTTTCAATTATTTTAAAGAAATTCTGTTGGGTTCAGAGATCAAAACCTAAGGGGAAAAATGGCACAGTCCTATTAAAAATTTATAAGCTAATTGAGAGGTATGGCATATATATATATATAAATTAACATTTTATATACTTACCAAAGTTTTACTAGGGGCTAACTCAGTTTTGGGACCACTCTGAATGTTCGACAGCAACTTTCTGGATGGCACTTGTCAGAATTGATAGACTTCTAGTAAATATCACAAAATATATGATGTCAGAGGATTAATTAACTCATGCTGGCATGCCTCTCTGTACAATATGTCTACTAATTAAGTATTAGCTTAATTATATTGAATTTTAAAATTTCTAATAGATTCTATTCTGACTCTAAAATATAGAAAATAGGTTGAGTTTTCTTGGTCAAGTATGACATTAAAAGTATTCAGAAGCGTTGTAATATTGATGACTGTGGGAATTAGTAAAAGAAAAAAACTGAAGAAAAACTAATAATCAAAAGACAGGATAAAGGACCTGCTTTAGAGAAGTACTACTAGTTTAAACATAAGAAAAAGTTACACAATAATAGATAATATTCTTGCCAAATATATGTAGGTTCATAATCATTTTACTATCTCTTCTTCAAAGTCAAACTGGTTATTAAAATTATATTTTACTTATTAATGTAATTACCAAAGGAAAGTTTCAAAGTGATCTTTTCTACCTTGCTCATAAGCCAGGCTGAAGGTTGAAATAAAACAAAAAAGAAAGGTTCTGCACTGTTTGTAACCTGTTACCAGACTCCACTGCTGACGGGTTCCATTCCAGTGCCACAGAAATTCCCAGAATAACAAAAGACTGACAAAACTGTCTGTCTGATTTTATATTTGGGAGACAAGTAGGAAAAAAAAAGAAAGATTTAATTCACAACAACTTCATATATGGTCTTAACAAAGTCAAACAAGACCTTTTATTCCCCCTCAACTGATAAATTTGTGACTCTCCAACTTTGTATCTTACCTTCAGTTATTGAAAATTCAGTGAGATGGGTCTGAAGTATTGAAACATTTATTTTCCGAATGATTGAATCTGAAACAAGAGGAAATAGATTATTATTATGTAGTTGGGGGTCATTTCATAGTGTGGTTACACCTCAGCTTATGAGGGGACTTAGCCGTTGGGTAATAGAATTCAGTTACCATAGACATTCACTGCTTTGTTTCTAGGAAACCGAGATAAACAAAGTCCGGAATCATTTGTGAAATAAAAATTTAAACCTTTCTTGGGTGAATACAAAATTTCAGCTATGCTTTGGTCAAAATAATCATATCAATGAAAATTTCTATGAAGTCTGAAAAATACAATTTGAGTAAAGTTGCTATACTTGGGTCAAGGAGACCCATGGGATTGGCTTTCCATAGTTCTCCTTCTTTTTCCAGTTAATTCATTTCATTCTTCCCAGAATCCATCCAATTGAATATCTATTTGATTCTAGTTTTATGGTGGATCAAACAATACATAAATACAAGTAGGTGTTACTAAGCATCCATTTAATTTAGTGCAATGACCGTTGTTTTTTAAAAGGAAAAAGGAGCTCTATATTTGTTTATTATTTTCACCTAATGGTTTTAAAGAACCTAAATCTAAAATCTTGCAGCACTGACCCACAATTAGGATACAGGCAGGTGAGACAAAGGGATGGCTCTGGGCATAGGAACTTGGGCTTTGTCAGGACAGGTAAGTAAAGTTGCAGGGGCTACAGTGGGTCCAAGTTGTTCCTGCTGTTCAGGCAGGTAGAACAGTAGGCAAGGTTATTAGTGCTCTACTCTCTCCTCATTAGCTTTTTCTTGATCTCTCCATGCCACTACCCTCTCAGCTTCTGCCACTGCCAACAACTATTCCTTTGGCCACTGCCAGTAGCTATAGCAGCAGCTGCTGCAATGGAAGCAGTGGTGAAGAAGACCAGAAGTTGGCTCCCATAAGATTTTAGTATAGCATTTCACAATGTCCAAATAAAATAATTTCTTATTTTACCGAATATATCGTGGATGTTAAGTACTGCATATCTGTATATTTTCTTCATATCATCATGTCTTACCCAGTATCAGTCTTATAAAAGATCTACATATGTAGATATATCAACTTGCAGTATACCTCAGCTGACTAAAAATGGTCTTTAAAATGGTAAAGTTCATAAGGATGAAAGTATATAACAAGTTTTCCAGCATGTGTCCATACAAATAAAATTAGCAATTTAAATTTGTGGACTTGTGACTGATATACTAATCTTGCATTATAGCTAATCCATCCTTCTGACTGAATTATAGTGCAATAAAAGTCATTTAACAGTTTTATCAGCACTTCATCCACATGTCATACAATACAATCATTCAATCATATCAGGAAGAGTTGTACAATTATAACCACAGTCAATTCTAGAGCATTTTCTTCTTCCTTGTACTCATTGTTATTCAGGTAATTATTTTTTCTAATTATGGCAAAATGTACATAAAACATTGTCCAATTATACAACTTCTACATGTATAACTCAGTGCCATTGACTATACATTTCATGTTGGACAACTATTTCTGATATCCTTTTCCAAATTGTTCCACCACCATTAACATGAACTCAATGGCCCCCAAGGAAAGACTCGTTCTCCTCATCCATGGTGACCATTGGTACAGTTTGGTTTCTTTCTTCTTCTTTTTTTAAAAGTATTTTTCTTGACATGGTAGTCACATAAAATACACTTCCATGAGTAAATCACTTTTAAAAGGGGTTGTATGTACACAATCACAATTAGTTGCAATGCTCCTTCCCCTCTCCCATATTTTCTGTTTGCTCCCCAAACCCCCTCACCCTTCACAAACTCCAACCACTGTCCATATCCCCAATAAACCATTGCATTAGTTATTTACTCTATGCATCTACTCTTTTGTGCTTCAAAAACTGAGAAACCAAAACCAAAACAAAATAGCATAAAGAAAATAATAATATTAATAATATAAAGACAAAAATACAAATATAGTGTAAGAAAGAAAAGACCATTATCGATATTTAAAAAGTCAGAGAAGAAGTTTCTGTCATGGAACAAGTGAGAAATACTTGATCCTACAGCAAATTCAGGTTGGGTCAAGGGGGAGGTCAATTGACCAAGCATCATATTATACCATGGTTGGATCCACCATAATCAAGTTTTTAATAATGTCTATCTAATAGCAAAGCTGTTCAAGTCCCTCGCTTGTGGCTAGAGGGGATCTGCCAGAGGCTTAGTCAGAAAATGGATTTGGGGCACCCACTGTTCTCCATAGCCTTCTACAAATTGGGTGCAAATAAAAGGCATTTTATACCATATTCAATAGTCTATATAAAGCTCTCTCTTAAACACATATGAGTGTCTCTGGATTTGTTTCTCTAGTCAACCTGGTCTAACACAATCTTCAATAAAATAGAATTAAAAGTAAACGACACAACGAGAGACAAGAATGGATACTACATAATAATCAAAGGAGTGATAGACGAAGAACATGTTGTCATAACGAGCATACACATCTACAATGAAAAACCCTTGAAATACATCAATCAAATTGTCAGAGATGAAAAGAGAAACCACCAGATGCACAATAATTGTGGAAGACTTCAAAGTACCATTCTCATGGAAAGATAGGTCAGCAGGAACTAAAGGCATATTTTTTTTTTAAAAAGGCCACATGCAAGTTCACAAAGAAAGCCTTTGCAAATTCAAAGACATAGAACCCATACAAACCATCTTCTGAGATTACAATGCTTTAAAACTGGAAATCAACAATAGAATGAACAAGAACACAAAGGCAAACACATGGAGACTCAACAACACACTATTTTTTAAACGCTGGGTATTAGCCCAAATTGTAGATGAAATCAATAAGTTCCTTGAAACAAATGAGAATGACAACACAACACACTAAAATAAACTCGACACAGCAAAAGTCATTATTAGAGGACAATTTAGAGCGATCAATACACACATTTAAAAAAAGAGGAGAAAACCATTATCAACACTTTAGCACAACACCTCCAACAATTAGAACAAGGACAGCAGTACAAACTATCAAAAAACAGGGGGGAAATAGAGATAATAAAAATTAGAGCAAAAATAAATGATCTGGAAAACAGAAAAACAATGGAAAAATGAAAAAGACAAGTTGGTTCTTTTTAAATAACAAAATTGGCAGACCACTAGCAAACTTGACAAAAGAAAAGAAAAAGGAGCTACAATAAAATGTGGTGATAAAACTACATGGTGCCCGGCTATCAGAAAAAATAGCATCTGGAACCTTAGATGCTTGTTTTCAAAGAAGCAGCTATCTTAGTGAGATGTCAACTAAGTTCACGTGGAAGAAGCACATCAGCCTGTGTGATCAAGGGCTGTAAATAATATAACCCAATCCAAAGTAGAAAAGGGTATTAGAGCTTAAATTGTGAGCACTTTATTTTCAGTGGGCTATGGATGACAGTGAAAGCCCAAAATCCATTTGCAGGACCCACACATAGATTAAGCTTCCAGTGATTTTCCTCTGACCATAGTCCTAGGAATGTGAATAGCCTTGTTATCTGACGGAATATTGTGGAGATAATTATAGTAGATATAGCCAGGTTAAAATGTAACATCTCATTTGATCCCTCTTTTGACCCAATGACAAGTTCTATCAGTTTAATAATAATAATAATAATAATGATGATGATGATGATGATGATGATGATGATGATGTGATGGGAGAATTCAAATTGATTGAGTCTCTGAACATAGATCAGGGATATGAATAACTTTGTTATCATACAGAGTGCATTGGAAAGTGGATTATGGCAGATGTAGTTAGTGTAAAATTTAACACCTTATGATTTGATCTCCCTTTTGATCCGTTTTAGAGTTATTTTAGTTTTTAATATTTTCTGTTTTCTTTTCAGCTAAGGTTTTATCAGTTTTATTTTGTTATTGTTAGCTTTGTCAACACTTTTTTTTTACTATATGAAATCCAGGATGGTTGAATCTATAGAGACAATACTGAATTAATGGCTCATTGGGGGTATAGCAGGAGACTTGGGGAGAAATGGGGAGCTAATAACAAGGAGTACAAGAAAGAAGAAAATGTTTTAAAACTGATCGTGGTAATGATTGTACAACTCTTCTTAATACAATGAACTATTGGAATTGTATGATGTTTGGATTGTGTCCCAATAAAACTTTTAATAAAAACAAAAGCAAACAAACAAAAAATAGATAGCAGGGTAATAGCTAAAATGGGAAATTAGAGCCATGAGAGGGCTTTTTTATCTTCCTCCATTTTGATGATAGAAATAATAACATGTTGCAAGTCGGAATGATACAGAGAGTACAATTGCTGGTGACGGGGTTAGGGTCCACTGACACAAATAACAAGTTTGGCTTTAGCATGGAGAGGTCACCTGCTAAAGCAAGCAAGAAAGCAGGGAATATGTGCAATAATGCTGGAGAGAGTATAGATATAGTTACAGAATGTTTCTTGGAACTATATCTATTTTCTAATTAGAATTAAAACTAAAAAAATGAGTTTAAAAATAAATTTTAACTTGCCTTCAGCTTCCCTTTTGATAAAAGGCTGTTATTTCCGTTTCTGTTTTGTTTTCCGTGCCTTAACAGTTTTCTTCAAACAGTTCCTAGGGAGTGAAATAACAGAGATTAGGAACAAAAATATTACACGTTTTTCTCTACACTTATTCCTGTATTAAGACTCTCTGAATCAAACAACTACTAGAACTAATTTGGAATCATCTCAAAGTGGAAAAATCTAGTAGTGGTGAATGCATTAATCTTTCCCACCATGCCACCTTTAACAATCAATCAATTCAGCTAATGTAAAGAAAAAGTATCACTCTGTTTATTCAACTTTTGAAAAGATTTCCCAGTAAAGGTAACTTTAAAGACTCAAGTGTTGTTAAAACCAAAATGTTCTAGATATCTGTTGTTTTAATTACTATTTCCTTTCTAAAATAATGATAGATATCAGAATTATCCCTTACATAAATAACAAATATGTAAAATTTTCACTATTTTTCTAAGTCCTAGAT